TCGCAACAACGTCACAACCATTTCTCTGCAAAATGCTGCACATTCTTTGGCATCTGGAAGAAAAAAACAAAAAGTTAAGCTCAAATTTGCACACCACCGCAATCACATCAAAATCATTTTTCGAATGTGAAAGCAAAAAATTGCTCCGAATGAGCTGAACTAAATGCATGCCTTGTTGTCATTGTGCTGTTTATATTTACATTTTTGACGGTGTTCCTTGGGAGGAAAAAAGTTGTAATCGTCCTTAGCGAGGCAGCCGTTCGTGCACCTAGGATGAAGTAATTATGGGTAGATGCTTGGTAACAGATTACAGATATCGAGGAAAACAGAAGAATTTTTGCGTGATAAGAAGTGTTTACTGGATTCACTGGTGACGTCAAGAAATGAAAGTGATTCGCCTGCTACCACATTTATAGGTCGCATGAAATTCATGTGGATTTTTACAAAGCCGCAAGTCTCATCGATCGGCCCCTGAAAAAATACACTGGAGATAAAAAGGCCTCCAGCAGAACTGTTCTGGAAATGGCAATGCAATGATGGCTTACAATGCATACGAAACTACATTTGTGTCTCTGTTGACCTTAAAGATAAAACTGTGCAGTGCATTTTGCAGCAAAATTCGCGAATGATACAGCTGCGACGAACCTTCTCTGGTACATCATCGCTCTCTGCAAACACTTTAAGGCTCGGTGATACAGAAGTTGTTGACATTTCGTGACATGAGCTCAGCGTACTATCGGCCGTTCGGCAATCCAGTGTCACCAGTGACCTGCATTTCTCATGACACGTGTAATTGCAGTCTGAAGGAAAAGTGCATTTAGTAGGCTGAGTGAAAGCAAACTGCTGCTTGTTTCCGAGCTACTCGCTCTTGAAGTTAAATGCTAAAAAATTTTTCAATGAGACTTTTTTAGTCCAAGCCATTTAGTTGCAGGTAGGGATTTGACAGATTAATAATATTTTTATAAAAATTATTAACTGACTGTCACATTTAACGGCATGTGTTAGAAATCCCCACATGAAGTCACCACATTTATCGCACCAAGTCGGATGAGCAACAGATACAGATCTGGAATGTTCCGATCACTGAAAGTTTGTGTAAAAACCGAAAACAGAAGGTAATCGAACATCGCGAATACCAAACTTGCAAATATCGTCCTTTTCCACAATGATCAGCAGCAGCGATTCTTCAGACGCAATTGAATAACTTACAAAAAATCGTGCCCTTTTCCAGGATGATTACAACCAGTGACCAGATTCTTCAGAGGACCAAAATGTTGTAATGCAAGAGTATCTTCGCAGTCAACTTCTCCCCATAACCAGCTGTTTAAAGTGTCCATCTGCAAAAAACACCACATTCGTCTACCAGTTTCAGATTCAGCTCTGATGATACAACAGTCATACGGATAATGACAATATCCCCAACTCTACGAATTTTTCCGACTCACCCCATCAGTCTGCACTGCTGGATGAGATGTGGGCTGTGTCTCTTCTGGGATGCAGTCAAGGCCACGCTCATTAGCCACTTCTCCGTATACACCAGCGTCGTCATTAGGCATCTGAAAAAAACACTAATTAGATGCACAGCTCACCAGTACCTCCGTAAATTATTTAAAAGAAGATAGAAGGTGAAAACCCTTCCCGTTTGTGGGACCTTCGTGTGACACTGTCTACACATAATCTAGGTAAAAAGCATGCAACGAGTGGAGCAGCGGTAAAAAACCAGTAAAGAAAGAGATCTTGCTGCCAAATGGCTGACACTTACAGGCGACGTATACAACATTAGAGTACTCAACACCTATGCATCCAACAAACAATAAACATTGGCTCAAAAAAAAGAATAATTGGCCAACGCACGAGTTGCCCGTGCGGAAATGCGTTTTTGCATAGTTCCCCGCAGTTTTGTCGCTACCTACACCGATTCTTCCGGCAAATGCTTCTAGCTAAACAAATTAAGACTGGACGCCCGAACTGTCAGCAAACATTCCCTTAAAATTTCAGCTTTCTAGCTTTTCAGGTTCCCGAGTTAACGAATTACCCGGAAAAAACTTTGGCAGGCCAGTACGTGGGTACCACGCATACCCGACGTCCGGGTTTGAACTCGTTGAGACTTACGCGGACGGGGAACGTCCTTTTAAAATTACAGTCTTCTAGTTTTTCAGGTACCCAATTTAGTAACCTACCTGAAAAAGCTTTGGCGAGCCTGTGCGCGGGTATTACGCACGCCCGCGGACTGGTTTGAAGCTCATTATGACTTACGTTGATAGGGAGCATCCCTTTAAAATTTCAGCTTTCTAGCTTTTCTGGTTCGCCAGTTAGCAGCTTAGCCGCAAAAAACTCCTAGAGGCCCGTACGTGGGTACCACGCGGGTAAGACCGCCCATTTTGGGGACGGGGCCCATACACGCACACAGATTATGTTCCCAAAGTTTCAGCCCTGTAGCTTTTGTAGATCTCAAGATAAAAAATCGGTACAGAGGCCCTGCGCACACACAGACAACCTCTCGTCAATATGCGTTTTCAGCACCGCATAGCTGCAAAAAACGCTAAAAAACTGGCTAGTTCGTGTAGAAACAAAACACTGCAGTACCACCAACATTAGCAGTAGCAGCACTAGCAACAGCAGAAGAGTAGCAGTAGCAGCAGCAGTATGTGGTGCTGTTCTGTCTGATCCCCCTCCACCAAATAATTATCGAAAATGATATTTATGTATTAATTCTTCAAACTTTCAATGACCCTAGCACCACATTCCAATTTTACCACCCGACAAGGAAAAGTTCACCTTCTGGGCAGAGCTGGAACTGCCAATTCCAAGCTGACTGAGCCATTCGGGCATGTTGATCTGAGAAATCCGTGCACGCAGCCCCGAAAACCATCTAAAAACAAGAAAACAGTCAAAACTCAAAAGTCAAAACGTCACTGTTCGATCCGAATTGAGCACACAGACTGTTTGCGCAGTGTGTGCCCCCTAACTAATCTGAAGTGTGGTAAATATTTACCTGGATTGCTGCGTAGCTGACTGACGTAATCCAACATCGGCTGCATGGCGCGGACTTCCGTAGCTCACGGTTTTACTCATAGCCATAACAATAATCCACCCATCAATTCTCAGCTAAACTTTACTGCCAATTATGTAAGCTTCCCGAAAAAAAAGACCAAACGCATAAAACATTAACGACGACTTCCTAATCAACTTCACGCGCCCACCCGACAGTAGCCATAATTTCCACAGCGGTCGAAGATTATAATTTTATAACTGATATTCTAGAACTTGAATTCCTGAAGAACGAAAGATGAAAATAAAAAACATCACACAGCGCTGAAAAACACCAAAATGCTCCCCGCGCAGCATGAGCGCAATGTGGCCCAAACGAGACCAGACTAACGCTCGTTGCAGGCGCCAAAAATGAGCCGTAACTGCAACAATACATGCAACAGTGAACTGCGCCAGAACCATGCGCCCCCTGTGGAAAGATGTTTCGGACGTAGAGGGCGGATACACTAGCATTCCATATAAGGGGAGACTGCACTGCACTGCGTCCACTTGATTCTTGCGAACCAATAAGTTTCGACTTCTTGGCTTGCTACTTCCTCAAATTTTACTATTCGCTTGCATCATACTAGAGAGGACGTAAAAGTTTATTTCAGGTCATTCACCGGTGTTACGACTTTTCAACTCTTATAATAAAGGGTGGAACGCACCAGGCTTGCCGGTACAATCATGCGTTTCTGCATCAAACTTGAAGTAATCCGTTCGTTAACTGCATAAATGGTTGTTGCTTTACACCTACCTTGTGCGCTCAATACCCTAAACCACCGTAAGTTTTGGATAAGAGA